GGTAAACTTAAAAAATTGAATTTAAGGGGGTTTCCATCAAAAACGCTTCATATCTTCACAAGTATTCGTCATACAAATTTGATGTTTTCAGCAAAGTTTCATATTTTTATGAGTACTACAACTTTGCTCAAGAAACTACTCTTCTATCTCTTTTGCGAAAAAAGTTATTTTTTTTATTTTTTTCATAGTATGTCATGACAAATATTGGTTATTGTCATAATATGCGCAATATTTTTGTGAACAATTCTTCTGAAGACAGTTTTTGGATTAAGTCAACGGTTTGATCATAAAACAATTAAGTTCACCAAATTGGCATCTCCGACCACTGTGGGATGGCGTCTAGAGGCTGGATATAAATATCCGACGCCATTTTGAAATCCAATATGGCGGCTTCCTATATCAGAAAAAAAATGGGAAATGCTGATGCCGTCCCATCAATATGGGTATTTTTGGAATCGGGGTGACGTCTGGAGATTAGAAATCAATATCCGACGCCATTTTGAAATCCAAGACGGCGGCTTCCGATTTGCGGAAAAGTGTCAAATACCCTGGTTATTTTCAGAATGGGGATGAGACGTAGATGCTGAAAATTGATGTCACTCCGTCTTTAAATCTAAGGTGGCGGCTTGAGATTTTGAGACTGTGAAATACTGTCAAACACTGACCAATGTGGTGTTTGTTTTGGAATTGTGAAATCTAGAAGCCAGAAATCGATGTCCGACGCCATCGTGAACTTCAAGATGGTGGCTTACAATTTCTGAAGAAGTGTGAAATAGCCTACAAATGGTTTTGAATATCGATTTGACAGCGTCTACGCGTCGTTTCGTTCCTAAAAATTCCCAGATCTTAGGGTATTTGACACTTTTTGTGAAACGCGATGGCGTCGAATATCGATTTTCGGCATATTCGTGTCGTCCTCGTTCCGAAAATACCCATATTGTAGGGTATTTGAGACATTTATTTACCCCAATGGCCGCAATATTTTACTCCAGAATGGCCTCGTTAATGTAATATTCGTTTAATATAAAATAATATATTATTACTACATATCAGTGGCGTCGCCTTAACCTCAATCTACCTGTGCACCAGCTCTCAAAACATAAACAATTATCAAAATATTGCTTGCAATGGATAGATATCGAGTTAACTAGAAGATAAAGTGTACTTTTCAACCGATTCGAGTAGAAAATGGCATTAAATCTGTTTTTGAAAGTTGGTGCACAGGTAAAAAGTGAGGTTACGCGACGCCACTGCTACATATAAACCGGATTCCATCCCTATCGGCAATCAATATTGTGCGGATACTATCCGGATACTATATTTTGATGCCTGACAAGTCGAATGAGCCCTGAATTGAAGTGAAAGTGGAAAAAACGAAGGAAGCAGTTTTCGAGTCATTCATGGCGTCAATTGAAACAAGTCTTTGCTTCAAATGAAATGAACTGAAGCACTTGACGAACGAAACAAGCGATAGTCCAGTCATGTTAAGAGGAATGTTCAAGAAACACGATAACTTACACGAAAATGATATTGCTCAAAATGAAGCGATTTTGCGGAGAGTTCATTTTCTTTTCTTTGTTTCGAAAATGCAGAACCCTGGCCAGCAGTGACGGTAGTTTCAGGTTGTGTTCGGGTGTAAAGCAAAAATCATGAAACTCAAACTCACCACGGTTTGGTTAGAAATGTAGCTGGTGAGTTTTGTTGGCTTGATATTCGTAGCTACGTAGCTTGTAATATGATGCGCAGTTGCTTGCTTATTGATTTTCATCTACGAAAATCAAGCGTGAGCTCTTGGGCATTGATGAGATTTGATTTTTTGATATTTTCCCAACACTGCCTGTAATTATGATTTTTTTTTTCAAAAATCTCGACTGCATTAGAGTAAGTGCCCAAACAGCACACAAGTTCTATAACAGTTCATATAACCTTTTTATGACTGATTTTCGTTAAGATGTTTAATCAACATATTGCATGAATATGTCTTACTTGGGTGTTCCGTTGTGACACGTGTACCAGTTATGTATCCAAATGGTACCAGTTTTGGACCTACTCCGTTAAAATCTCGTAGGTCATAATTGGTGCATGCAGAAACTGTTGCACTTAGTGCCATAGCTTGTTAATTTGATTGTTATTCATCCTAGAATTTTTAAATTTATATATTTTTTTGGATTTTAATATGTAGGGGAAAAGGATGTAATGTCGGCCTAAATGCCCCTAATTTGAGACCATACATAAATTCAGCAATCGACTAAATTTTCAATAGCAACCAAAAATATCTATTAGTACCGTTCCAATGACGCGTTCATCTAGATAAAATTGATAAATATCAGATTTTTAGCGATGGGCCCAATCTTAGATCCATTGGCCAACATTAGAGCCATTTCCCCTATTTTAAAATACTACACACTTAGAAAAATTCATGTAAATTTAGGTGCTCTGAGAGTGACATATACGAGCGTCAATTTTGACATACATTTGAGTCATAACAGACGCAAAATATAGCTCAATCAAACGTACTGTTCATCGAGCAACGAACTTTTCAGTCTCGGAGCACTTAATATCATATGACGTGTTTGTTTACGTCTCATGTTTTAAAGGGTGATACGGTCAAAATTTGGTCAAGGGAAAACGCGTGTAAATCGGTGAAATCGTTTATTTAAAAAATCAAATTAAATTTCTTTTTCAAGTTCAATTAGTATAAAATTCAGGAAAAATATTCAGTTAGGCTTCCGCTTTTCCAAATCCGAATTGCCGGGCCTTACGCTTGACCCCTGCCATCAGATTTTGTACAGCCACCTTGTCCACCTTCTTCGCCGCAGAAAGCCAGTTTGCCTTGAACTGCTGCTCGCCTTTAGCAGTTTTTTTGGTCTTCTTTAGGTTCCGCTTGACAATAGCCCAGTATTTCTCAATTGGGCGGAGCTCTGGCGTGTTGGGAGGGTTCTTGTCCTTGGGAACCACCTGCACGTTGTTGGCGACGTACCACTCCATGGCCTTTTTACCGTAATGGCAAGATGCCAAATCCGGCCAAAACAGTACGGAACAACCGTGTTTCTTCAGAAAAGGCAGCAGACGTTTATTCAAACACTCTTTCACGTAAATTTCTTGGTTGACAGTCCCGGAAGCTATGAAAATGCTGCTTTTCAAGCCACAGGTACAGATGGCTTGCCAAACCAGATATTTCTTTGCGAACTTTGACAGTTTCATGTGCTTGAAAACATCTGCTACCTTTCCCCTTCCTTTTGCCGTATAAAACTCCTGTCCCGGAAGCTGCTTGTAGTCGGCTTTGACGTAAGTTTCGTCGTCCATTACCACGCAGTCAAACTTCGTCAGCATCGTCGTGTACAGCCTCCGGGATCGCGCTTTGGCCGTCGTATTTTGTTTATCATCGCGATTTGGAGTCACTTTCTTCTTGTAAGTCGATAGTCCGGCTCGTTTTTTGGCTCGATGCACGGTTGTAGACGATACACCCAGCTTATTTGCGGCATCTCGGAGAGAGAGGTTAGGGTTTCGCTTGAAACTACCGGCAACTCTCTTTGTCGTCTCAGCGGCTTCCGGTTTTCGATTTCCCCCCGATCCAGACTTCCTGGCTGTCGACAAACGTTCCCCAAACACTTTAATTACATTTGTAACGGTTGATTTGGCAACTTTTAAGGATTTTGCCAACTTTGCGTGCAAGTAGCTCGGATTTTCGCGATGCGCGAGCAAAATTTTGATACGCTGCTCTTCTTGATTGGACGGCATTTTGACAACTGAAGAGTGAATTCCAAAATCAAAATAGGAGCAACATTCTACACACACACACCTTCAAAATGAGGGGTGTTCAGGTTTTTTAAATGCAAAATTGAAAGAAATACGTCAAGTTGATATTGACCAAATTTTGACCGTATCACCCTTTATGTTAAAAATGGATTCCATCACGTGTAAAATTAGTTATTTCTAAGTGTGTAGATTAATAAATTCTCCTCGCCTCGAAAACAAAATTTAGATTATGTATTGTGATAACGACACTAATTTTAAAATCTTCTGCTTGAAGATTTTTTCGATTTTTATGAAGGAGGTTTGACGTATTCTTATAAATTCAAATGTGTTGAGATTTATTTGTTTGATAAATACTCACATTTATAATTCAATAACAATTTCCAAGCTTCTGAGTGAACCTGAAATATCAACTCGACACCGTTGAACAAATTTTAATATTCCAACATTGTAATCTTTCTTCTTGTTTGCTCAGTATACCACCAAATCCATCTGGAAAATGAAATCCACTTAAGCTCTTCCACCTGTGAAAACTCTGGCAAACTATTCCCACGACAGCATGAAAAAAACTATTTTTCACTTATTCACCTGTGTCACGAAGGCTCTAGACTGACAATCGGTGCTAGCGCGGTTGGGAAGCCACCGCAGCTGGTTTTCACGGTTGGATAAACCACACCACCGTCCACCGGCTGTACTGTCGCACGTTGCGACAGTCATCCAGACGACTTCACTCCAATCCCCGCTTCAGTCTAGTCTAGCTTCTGTTGGTCGGCTTGGTTTGGTTTGTTTGGTGCAGCGTTGATTAATTTAAACTTGAAATTAAATTTGAATTTGTTTGCTATTTTTCATCATCCCTCCACCTCGATCCGGTTTGCCCATCCTCAGCATCATCATGCTTTACACTCCAGTGTATAATGGTTGTGGAAAAGAAGAAAGGCGGGAAAGGTTTCAAAATTTCATCGGCTTACTATTACCCGTCAGCCGGGCGTGATTGAATGGGATTTTGAATGCGGGAAAAAGGCATGAAATTATCCATCGAATGAAACAAACGACGACGGAGGAGACCGGGGTCGGGTGAAGCAGTGAGCGCGTGTGGTTTGCTTTTATCGGAAGGGTCTTAATAAAGAAGATTTATTGCGATGAGGTTTCGGTTTTTAATTGATTCTCTGATGTAGGGCCTACCTATCAAATATAGTGTTCATTATTATTCTAATGGAGTTTTCTTTACGTGTTTCTTTTTACAGACGACAACCCATTCGGCATCGTGTGACTTCCCGGTGGTTATTGTTGCGGGTAAGTGTTTTGATCTATGTTTAACGGTGGTTATGCTGATCATTTAAATCAGAATAACTTGTCAATTAGTGACTATTTATGAGCTTAAGGGGAAGTTTACCGGCCCGAAAAAAAGTTTTTTTTTCTAAAAATATTGCCAATTTTCGATATTGTTTCCAACAGTTTTGGAAAAATTAAAAAGTTTTTCCGTAAACAGTGTGGCGAGCGTCCCGTTAAATTTGAAATGATAAAAAAAAACTACTTTGAAACATTTGCGCTTTTGCACAGTTTGCATGGACTTGGAATAGGAAAATTACGTTTCGTCCTCTCTCGAAATGCTATTACTCCTAACACTTACCAATGATGACCCCAATCCGATTATTCGGCCAATGATTACCAATCTCAAACACACTGGGTCTCATTTGTTCGATACCGCATCACCAACACAACACCCCAACTACAACCGACGACACAAAGTACACACTTCTAAATTAGTGCAGCAAATCGTCATCATGTATGTATTATTCCGACAGCAGCGATTTAAAAGCAAAACCGAGCATAAATAGTCCCATAATCAAACCGGAGATCGGAGATTTCGCTGCAGCGAGACTGGGAAGGCGAGAGAGGAAGCCACAGCACTCCGAGCGGCACACAAACAATTGACTCTAATTTAGGTTGAATTTATTTGTCATCAAAGTCGAAAGTGTTAAGCCTTCATCCACGTCGATGTTTGTATGTATGTATGAACAATTCCGTCCGGGCATCGGGACTTCAAATGACCAGTGTGCGAGGGTGGACCGGAGATGTACGTACGTACCGACATATAGTTGCTGAATGTATCAGAATGAGCTACAAAGTTCTCTGGTTATTCTCTGCGTTTTCTTGTTGACATCTTAACAATAGGAATTGGAATTGACTTCCCCCCTCCCCAGTTTTTGTGTGTAGGAGCAAAGATGATGATGGCAAGAAATTGCTCAACTGGTTAGGAATGGAAGCCGAGTACACTCGGCCACAGTCGTTCTGCTGACCATAACTCACATAAAGTGTTTGATTTATGCTGCACGATGACGATGACGACGATGTTGGTTGTTCCATTTTCGGACCGAAATCGCCCTGAGGTGCACTCCCGGAGCCCGATCTGGGCAGGCAGCAGAAAAACCATATCCATGGATGCTTGCGCTGCAGAGTATGTAAATAGAACGGACACGGAAAGCTGAAACAATATTGCATAAGTCACTTAGACATTCTGTCCTGGATAACCCGGTCTCGAGAGGAGGCGACCGTTGCCGTTGGACTTGGACAATGGTGAGCCTGTATTCCGGGCTGTGTCGTCGTTGTCGTGCGTGTAAATGCTCGAGGAAGGAGGGAGATGCAGACAGAGAGAGAGAGAGAAAGTTCATGGTGATCTAATTGCTGGAACATATACTTCTAATTGAGTTTCGTGCTCGATTTTGCCCTGGAACCAATTTTTCCTCTGTTCATGTAGGATTCAGCTATGGAACGATATCAAATTACTAACAAGACGCTAACGTAAGCAGTCCTTCGGGATCATTTCCCATTAGGCGTAACGATGATGGACATTCGGACTTTAAGATATACATTTACTCCATGACTTTTAGAAAAATAGTTAATCTTTTTGATATTTTGCGTTCTTTAATTCTTTTTGAGAATAAATTAAAAGATGAATGTTGAAATTGAAGAATAAAAACTACAAGAGACAGCCCTATGGGGTTGTACGCAATGGTGACGTAGGACTACGTGGTCTTATATAATAAATGAATTTGAGCCTGGTTCTCTCTGTTTATAAAGACTGGAACGCGCAAAAATTGGTCGACAAAAAAATCGTTTCTTTCAGTCAAAATTCATATCACAAAAATTTCTTTTGGTAGTTCAATTCATACATTTAAAGGAAAAAATGTTCGTTCATTCTTTTGGTTTGCCAAATCCAAACTGCCGTGCCTTCCGCTTAATCCCCTTCCATTAAATTTTGCACAGTGGTCTCATCGACCTTATTCGCCGCCGAAAGCCAGTTAGATTTAAACTGCTGCTCGTTTTTCATGGATTTATTAGTTTTTTTTTGAGATTCTGTTCAATAGGGCGGAGTTCTGGGCTGTTGGGAGGGTTCTGGTCTTTGGGTACCACAACCACGTTGTTCGCAGCGTACCACTCGATTGCCTTTTTCCCTTAGTGGCAGCTCGCCAAGCCCGGCCAGAACAGCACAGGTCTGTTATGTTGCTTTAGGAATGCACTATGGGGCATTTTCATACAACCAGGCGGTCAAAAATATTTCTATAATTTTTTCACAATTTCTGCTATTATTCTTGCTTTGTTTCATCAATATAAGGTGTGCGTTATCACTTTTCAACATTTTCACGACCAACTTTTGAAAAGGGCCTAACTTTTGATTAATTAAAATTTAATTTTTACGATTTTATAACGGTTACAGTTTCAAGCTTGTTTTCAGAGAATAAAATCTATTGAACAAAGACAACCTACCATGGTTTTATTGGGGGGAACACCGTAAAAATAAAAATAAAAACCTTTTTTTTTTGGAAATATGTTTATTTTTTTTTTCAACAAATCTTCTGTAAAAAAAATACAAAAAGCCATGATACAATAATCAAAATCAAATATGTTTCAACGAATTTCTTTTTATTCCTTTGTTACAATATCATCATCAACAAATTCTTCTTCAATTTCATCGACTGCTTTCATAAGTTCCTCCAAGGCATTGAAGTTATTAGTATCGACTACTGAATCACTTACAGAATTTTCAAATATCATGAAACTTTTCACGATGTCGGGATAATCCAGGGATACTTTTTTCTGTCGTATTTTTTCCCTCCAAATGGAACTGATCAGTGAGTCCGATTCATTCATGGCACGAATAAAGACATCATGTAAATTTTCTACTCTTGACCGTTTTCTTGCATGATGAGTTCGATATTTTTTCAATTGTTTATGTTGACTTTCTGCTGCCCCTTCCGCTAATGAACCAAGTGTTGCTGGTGAATGTATGATTATTTCTCCGGCATGAGCGAGAACTTTATGCACGGTTGCAGGAATTTTGTACCAATCATACAATTTAAGATAAAGCCTGTATGTTTCCTTGCAATATGCATCAAATTTTTCTGGGTTTATTGGCTCTTGGCAGTTAATAGCAATTAATATATTCGGGAATCTGAAAATTAACTCTTCATCAATGTTCAGCACGGAGCTTAAAAGCTTGGGATTTCCAAATGCTCTTCGACAAACGTTTCCTGTAGTACTGGTACCTGCTCCACCCGATCGTGGTTGATCTACTCTTACTCCAAATTTTTCGTAAAGCTGTGTCGTCACATGTTTTTTTCTTTGTTCATATAGTTCTTTGAACGGTTTCGTTACCTTCCATTTTTTGATATCCATTCTGTAAGCAATATGCAAAAGGCATTCGAAAAATCTTATCCAAGCATGAAGTGGAGATATGCCGTAATGCAAGGCTTCTTCGTTTGATATAAATCCTTCCTCGAATTTCTCTGCATCATTCATTACATTTGGTGTTGCCCACATATTGGACAATTCTGCATCGACGAATTTCCAGTGATATAAGTTAAGACTTTTCCGTCTATCATACTGAGGACAAAATCAAAATCAACAAGTATAAACTTGTCGTTTGAGAGTTCAATTTTCACTGGCGTTAGTTCACTCATTTCTTTTTCTACATCCTGTTTTGTAGCCAGAATAACTTCTTTACTCTCTTTAATGAATTCAAGGATGAATGGCCTACAAAATCGAATACTTTGAGGCATGGGATTAAACCACATAATTTCCTTTCGATCATTGTAGATGAACAACTGAATTGATGTTAAAGTGGACGAAAATACATCTGAATCGTCCTGACTAGCCTGGTAGCACTTGATGATATTGCGAATATCCAGTTGATCCGTCCATACCCCAGCTACATAGAAGAACCAGTTCCGTAGAAACTAGATCGGTGCTATCCATATACTCGTTGAGCTCTGCATCAATTATTTGGACGATTCGTTTCACTGTATTTTCAATCAGCGCCTGGAGTTTCACTCTTATTTTCAATGCACTTTCTTCGATGAATTCACTAGGAGGGGCGCACATTTTTTTCACTGCTCTGATCACATAGTAAGGTGGAAATCTTGAAGGTGATTCACTATGTATTACTTCGTATTGTAATCTACTCAATCCAGCCTCGATAAGTACACTAAAAGCCTCTTCTGGTGACATCATTCCTCGTTGATCAGTTACTTGAGCCAGCATGATTTTAGAGCTTTTTTGGTTTTTTTTAAATATGCCCAATAACTTTAACTAAATTAAAATCCTTTCGATTATAAACGGTCCGTCTTGCAAATAACAAAGCTTTCTCGATGTTACCGAATTTTGGATCAACTGTTTCTTTATCGATGACGCGACGTTTTCTTCTTTCACTCAAATCCAAGAAAGGTTTTGAAGGTCGTCCACGTTTTGTTCCCGAGGCCGAGGTTGAGGCAACACATTGCTCCTGTTCGATGAATTCCTCGATGCCAAATTCTCCATCAAGCCAATTCCGAAAATACGACTCAAATCGCTCTTTCGTGCGATTAGCTTCATGCCATTTGTTGATGTATTTAAAGGGTGATACGGTCAAAATTTGGTCAAGGGAAAACGCGTGTAAATCGGTGAAATCGTTTATTTAAAAAATCAAATTAAATTTCTTTTTCAAGTTCAATTAGTATAAAATTCAGGAAAAATATTCAGTTAGGCTTCCGCTTTTCCAAATCCGAATTGCCGGGCCTTACGCTTGACCCCTGCCATCAGATTTTGTACAGCCACCTTGTCCACCTTCTTCGCCGCAGAAAGCCAGTTTGCCTTGAACTGCTGCTCGCCCTTAGCAGTTTTTTTGGTCTTCTTTAGGTTCCGCTTGACAATAGCCCAGTATTTCTCAATTGGGCGGAGCTCTGGCGTGTTGGGAGGGTTCTTGTCCTTGGGAACCACCTGCACGTTGTTGGCGGCGTACCACTCCATGGCCTTTT